AAAAAAAAAAAAAAAAAAAAAAAAAAAAAAAAAAAAAAAAAAAAAAAAAAAAAAAAAGGCAGTCACCAGTTTGACGAATTGCAACCAACCCATATAAAATTTCTTGAATCGAAGTCAAACACAGCTTGAGGTTGTCAGAAAGTTGCACTAAGGCCTTGAAATTGGCGTCAGGGGCTCTGAAAGAAAGCATTTCATTAATGGGGTATTCTTTATTAAACGAAAATGTTTCTTCAAGTGGAGGAAATGGAGTTGACCTTAGAATCGGCAGCGGCTGCGGCAGAGGACAAGAGGCAGAGCCGACCTTCATGTGCGTCCAAATCTGTAGCCCATAGAAATTGTTTAGTCAAATAAAACAGTTGGTTCATCCCGATGCATCGAAAAGTAAATCCATTTTATTAATGATTCACAAGAACCCACTTTGGATCTTACTTTCTTCAAATGGGTTAAGAGAGAACAATTCAGAGCCAGGAGGCGAGCCCCCACTGCGAGGAGCCAGCGCACACCCATTCTCCTTGGTCGGCTCTACTAACCCTAAATTCAAACATTCAAAACTTCTACAAATGGTGATCAACCATTTTAGCTAAAATAAATTTAAAATATTAGAGATATGATTTTCGGACACTCTATGTAAGAACCGATGGTCGATTATTTAGCTAAAACGAGTTTAAAATGATGGTGATATGATCCTTGGATGTTCTATCTAAAGACGGATGGTCGATCATTTAACTAAAACGAGGTTAAAACGATGGAGATATGATCCTCGAACCCTCTACATAAAGACGGATGGTCGATCATTTAGCTAAAATAAGTTTACAATCAGGGAGATATGATCTATCATATGTTAACGTTCCTCTTAACTTTAGCAAAATCTAAGGTACAGGACAATGCCTGTTTTTTTTTTTTTTTTCTGGGTGAAAGATTCCTTAAACATAAAAATTAAAAGTTTAGGGACTTATTAGATACTTTTTAAAGTTTACCATTCTTTTGAACACAATTTGTGAGATCTCACATCGATTGGAGAGAAGAACGAATCATTTCTTATAACGGTGTGGAAACCTCTCTCTGATACAAAACCTTGAGAGGAAGCCCGAAAGGGAAAGCCTAAAAAGAATAATAGCTGTTAGCTGTGAGCTTGAGTTGTTACAACTGGATAAGAGTCAGGTATCAGGCGATGTGTTAGCAAGGACGCTGGTCCAAGGGAGGTGGATTGTAAGATCCCACGTTGATTTGATTGGATGTCACGAAATAAGGTGTCTTAATTTTGCAATGAATGATTTAGATTTAAGAAGGTTTTATTGTATTTTTTAAGTCCGAGAGAATTGTCTCTAATTATAAGTTACAAAGGTCAGTTAAACTTTTACTTTACAAATTGTTGTGTTTATAACTTACGTACTACCGTCCTTCAAGTGGTATTCGAATCACGAGTTTAGATACAAATTTTCTTTACTCTTGATCTTGATCATCAAGGTAATCCATTCCAAACTTTCCCTTGATTGATTCTATATCAAGAGGGGAACGAACCAGGTGATGTGCTAGCGATGATGCTGGGACCCCAAGGAGGTGGATTGTGAGATCTCATATCGGTTGGAGAAGAAAACGAACTGGATGGTGTGCTAGCGATGATAGCCGCCCAAGGGAGGTGAATTGTGAGATCTCACATTGATTAAAGAGGGGGAATGAAATGGGCAGTGTGCTAGCAATGACGCTCGGACCCTAAAGGGATGGATTGTGAGATCTCGGTTGAAAAGGGAAACTCTTCCTAACATAGTTGGAGCGGTGAGACCTAAAAAATTATGCACGAAAAATCCGAAAAAAAAAAAAAAAAAGCATAGATACCTAATATAATCTAGGTAGATAGAGCATATTAATATTAGTGGGCTTAAAACTAAAGATTTCACTTCAAAATGCACTCATTGTTAGAGAAAATGATTAATCGTTGGGTGGTGTAGCTTTGTATAATGCATACCTAATTACATGCATCAAGTCAAGAACAACTTATAATGCATACCTAATCATTTTAATGGTAGATTTAGGTAAACATCTCGGTCCTCGTTCATAAGAACACGATATCTGTATTGTCATTTTATTCAATTTTGTTCTCGTTTATATTAATTATTAGGGTAAAGACCGTAGCGATACTTGAAAGAAGGTAGGAAAAGTCAGCTCGAGCAGTGAATAAGATGTTAAATTAATTTTAAAGAGTCGAACTTCATAATGTTGGGATTTATCAATTAAAATTTTAAACCGTTCATAAAAGTGAATCAATTTGACCATTCGATGTAAATCAAAGAGAAATGTGAGAATCAATTATTAGACAATCCCCATAGACTAACGAAGGGTTTTTCCAGCATGTTTTGTCTTCAATCACATGCTTCAAAATTTTCAAAAAGTCAACCAACATAAGTAACAGGGGCAAAACGGTAATTTTTCCCTCACTCACCTCTCGAGTGGGCAAAACAGTAATTCATTTTTACCATGCATAGTTTGTGGGTCACACTCGATATTTTGATTCTCCGAAATTCGAAGTGTGCACTCAATCATCTTAATTTTAGGATCACGTTCATTCAGAAACAAGAACTTATTAGACACAAAATTACCCTTTTGCCCTTTTGAGAGACAATTTTTTTTCTCAAAAAATAAGGTTGTTTTTTTTTTTTTTTTTTTTTTTTTTTTTCATGCTTGAGTCAAGTTGTTANACTAATGAAGCATAGTTGTACTTTCCAAGTGATCATGAATATAAAATATAAATATAAATTATACAAATGGGTGAAATGTCAAATTTACCCTTCCCAATTTATTATATAAATACTAAAAAATAATTAATATTTAAAAAAAAATAGTCAACCATTGTAAATAGCACCAAAATGGTTGACTTTGGATGCCCATATTGCTCCCTTGTCACTTCCATCAAATCAAAATGGCACCCAAGAACTCATCATAACCATTTAAAATTATGCCTTCATCACCTCTATAAAGGAACCCTAACCCACAAATCCATAGCACTTTTTGAAGCCAAATTCAAATATGTTATGAGTGGTGGAGTCCAAGTCCATGAAACATGTTGTGTATAGCTTATGACTTACCTATCTCGACGACAAGTCGAGTGCATAAAAGATATCATGTTTTATCACGATTTATAAGATTTGGTCACGTTGTGCGTATCTTATTTCTGTTGAGTTTGTAGCTAACGTCGACAGAACTTGAATAAAACTGTTACTATAGACATGTCATGACTGTTCTTTGGATTCTACTTTCTTTTTCAGGTAGTACTTCAGTACACATGATCTATGTACATGTACATGTACATGCACATAGACCCACTAAGCGTGTTCGTTTTCGTAACGTGGCTTGAATTCCTTAGGAGATGTGCATATATTATAACGGGTCAAGCCCACTACTAACAGATATTCTCTTCTGGACTTCCTCTCAAGGTTTTTAAAACGTGTCTGCTAGGGAGAGGTTTCCACATCCTTATAAAGAATGTTTTGTTTCCTTCTTCAACCGATGTGGGATCTCACATATATAGTCAGAGTGTTTCAATCATGCTAGATTATATTATTCATCGTGGTGTCTCGCTAGGTATCTGCATGGTTGTATCAACATATCAGTCATACTCAAGCATACGTGAAAGTACATACATCATATGTCGCAACAATTTAATAACACATAAATAAGGGTCACACTGTATGTGTCATTCATACAATATACAATTTCATCTAACCTAGTCGGTAGACGTTCCAATAGTAAGCTCACTTACGGTAAAAGCTCAATCTGATGTTCGTAAGCCTTCGTAAGTTGACCATCACCTAAGTTAAGTCTTCATATACTTTAGAGTTTTGTCCATTCTCCCTCGTTTAGTATCGAAAAATCCATTTTCTAACAGTGAAATGTCGTCAGCATTACTTCTTTCTGACGTTTTTCCTCTTTAGTATTGACAAAAACTCTAATGATCCTAGCCCACCGCTAGCAAATATTGTTCTTTTCGGGCTTTCCCTTTCGAGCTTCCTCTCAAGGTTTTTAAAATGTGTCAGTTAGGAAGAGATTTTCACACCCTTATAAAGAATGCGTCATTTCTATCTCCAACCAACTCGGTATCAGGGTAGATTGTGAGATCCCACATCAATTGGAGAGGTAAACGAAGCATTCTTTATAAGTCTGTGGAAACCTCTTCCTATCAAACGCGTTTTAAAAACCCTAAGTAGAAACCCAACAGAGAAAGCCCAGATCGAACAATATCGGCTAACAGTGGACTGGGTCGTTACAAAAACATGTCCTTTCAGTACGAGTGTGGTTCAAATCTTCACTTCACATTATTGCACTAAAAAAAACACCAATCATAAATTTGACTTCACATTTTCGAACAATATAATAATCAAAACTATATTTCCGAGTCAAATAGCTTAACGAAACACAAAGGACATATCAAATTTGCTATCTATCAAAGGACCCATATGATCATTTCTTCAAGTAGAGCAATCAAGTTGACCAAACATTGTTTAGTCAAATAAAACAGTTCATTCTATCATACAAAAGTAAGCCATTTTAGCTGTTTAGTGCTTACTTTCTTTCAACAATGTGGTGCACATCTCCTCTCAAACTTAGCATCAAAATTGGCCCTTTGAAGCACCAAACATAATGAGTTTAATATCATAAACATGTTCAAACTCATAGCTTTAATAAATCTTCGGGTTAGGTTTGAGATTGCGACGTTTTAATATAGTATAATAAAATAGTAATAAATTTCAATAACGAACGCGTTTCCGAAATAGATAAATAATGTGAGTTACTTGGCAAAATAGTTAAGCGTTGGATTGCAACAATTTTCTAAATATTTTATAACTTCAGCAACCTCAGGTATTTTTGAAGCTATAATGGACCATAATTTATATTTTTCAAACTTAAAACGTTCAAGGATGAAATTGCAATGACAACAACTTTTATAATTCAGGGTTCTTTTGGTGTCTCTCGAGGAGAACGGGAAACGTCAACGAAAGTCCTGATTTAATTGGATTTTTTTAGCGAGAAATTGTTGTGTGCGATATTAAGAAAGAACGAACGTTTTTCAGGTTAGTTATATTTTTGTATTGTGACTCGTTATTCGTCGCGATATTAGAGTTTAAACTTATGCATACTTTTCTCGGGATATAATAAATGTATCTTTCTTTTTTTTTTTTTTTCTTTTATCATCCACTCATTTTTACGGGTGGTGTTCAATAACTTCGATGACTTGAAAAATTCCATCAACTCAACTCAATCCATATCGTTTGGACAGGGTTCTAGTAGAATTAAATTGAGTCTAAATTTATTGTTAATTTTAAAATATACATTTTTACTTACGATAAAAATATATATATAAATATTTAATTTTATGATTATTTTTTAATTATTTATATTTCAAAAATTCTTTTAAATAATTTTTTTAAAACTATTTAGAGATAATTTTCTAAAATATATTTTTAAATTAAGTTTCAAATTTTAATTAAATATTTAAAAATGAATAAATAAGAGTTTTATGAAACTTTTGT